TGAAAATTTTTCCTGAAATAAAGATTTTATGACAAATTTCCCTGAAATAAAGATTTTATGAAAAATTTCCCTGAAATAAAGAATTTATGAAAATTTTCCCTGAAATAAAGATTTTATGAAAAATTTCCCTGAAATAAAGAATTTATGAAAATTTTCCCTTAAATAAAAAATTTATGAAAAATTTCCCTGAAATGAAGATTTTATGAAAATTTTCCCTAAAATAAAGAGTTTATGAAAAATTCCCCTGAAATGAAGATTTTATGAAAAATTTCCCTAAAATAAGGAATTTATCTTAAATTTATCTGAATTAAAGAGTTTAAGAAAAATTTCCCTGAAATGAAGATTTTATGAAAAATTTCCCTAAAATAAGGAATTTATCTTAAATTTATCTGAATTAAAGAGTTTATGAAAAATTTCCCTGAAATGAAGAGTTTATGAAAAATTTCCCTGAAATAAAAAATTTATCTAAAATTTCCCTGAAATAAAGATTTTATGAAAAATTTCCCTGAAATAAAGAATTTATGAAAAATTTCATTGAAATAGAAAACTTATGAAAAATTTCCCTGAAATGAAGATTTTATGAAAATTTTCCTTGAAATAAAGAATTTATGAAAATTTCCCTGAAATAAAGATTTTATAAAAAATTTCCCTGAAAGGAAGAATTTACGAAAAAATTCTCTGAAATGAAGATGTGAAAAATTTCCTTGAAATAAAGAACTTATGAAAAATTTCTCTGAAATAAAGATTTTATGAAAAAACTTCCCTGAAATAAAGAATTTGCGAAAAATTTCCCTGAAATGGAGATTTTATGAAAAATTTCCCTGAAATAAAGAATTTACGAAAAATTTCCCTGAAATAAAGAATTTATGAAAAATTTCCCTGAAATAAAGAATTTATGAAAATTTTCCCTAAAATAAAGAATTTATCTAAAATTTCTCTAAAATAAAGAATTTATGAAAAATTTCCCTAAAATAAAGAATTTATCTAAAATTTCTCTGAATTAAAGAGTTTATGAAAAATTTCCCTTAAATAAAGAATTTATGAAAAATTTCCCTAAATATGAAAAATTTCCTTGAAATAAAGAATTTATAAAAAATTTCCCTGAAATGAAGAATTTATGAAAAATTTCCCTAAAATAAAGAATTTATCTAAAATTTTATGAAAAATGTTCCTGAAATAAAGAATTTATCAAAAATTTCCCAATAATTGAAAAAATTTCTTTAAATTCAAAATTTTTCAAAAACTTCCTTTTTATAAAGAATTTTATGAATAATTTATGAAAATATTTTCCCTTCAATACAAATTTTATAAAAAAATTTCCCTTTAATAAAAAAATTATGAAAAATGTCCCTTTCATAAAGAATTTTACAGAAATTTACCCTAAATAGGAAATTTATCAAAATTCTACCTTTAATACAGAATTTTTCAAAAATGTCCCTTAAATACAGATTTTCCAAAAATTTCCCTTAAATAAAAAATTTATGAAAAATTTCTCCTAAAAACAAAATTTAGCAAAAATCTACCTTTTTATAAGGAATTTTAAATTTTTTTATTTTTATACCATATTTATCTAAAAGTCCCCTAAAATAAAAATTTTATGAAAAATTTCCCTCCAAAATAAATTTATCAAAACTTTTCCTTAAATAAAGAATTTGTTCAAAATTTCCCTAAAATACACAATTTTTCAAAAATTTCCCTTTAATACAGAATTAATAAAAAAATTGCCTTAAATACAGAAAAATTACCCCTAAATAAAAAAAACTAATCAAAAATGTCCCTTTAATTAAGAATTTATCAAAATGTTCCCTTAAATAAAGAAAATTTCCCATAAAATTAAATGCTTTCTAAATATTGTTTAAAAAATTTTTCAATTTTCAAAATTTATAAAAATTAAGAAAACTTGTTTTTTTTCATTAAAATTTAATTTAATTTTAAAAATATTTTTAAAATTAAATATTTAAACAATTTAAATATTTACCTTATTAACCAGACAGTAGTAGTGGGGGTCTCTATAAATTATTATTTCTTAAAAACGTTCAACACTTTTATGTATTTTTTTGGAAAAAACTGTGAATATTTTTCTGGGTGTTTTTTCTTAATAACAGATAAATATTTAAACAACATCTAAATGAACAAATATATAATTCTATATATTGAATAAATAAATAAAACTCTGACACACATATAAATAAATGCTACAGTTGAACTTGAAAAGAAAAATAAATAAAATTAAATACTTTTTTACAGGCAGAGAAGAAATTTTATTTAAAATACCCACAACAACAATAAGAAAAAAGAGCATAAACGTAAAATGAAGTAGAAAATTAATAAATATTTCAAGTAAACAAAATAATAAACAATGACAATTCAAAAAATATATTTCGAAAGAGTTTAGATCCAAACTGGCAAATTTTTATTTTGGAAATAAAAGATATTTTAGAATTTTAGAGCGAAATTAGCAATTATAGAAAACAAAAGATATTGTTTAAATTAAAACACGTTCCTTAAATAATATAAAAGACTTAACGGTTTTATTTGTTTATAAATAAATGTGTTATTGTTAAGTTAAATTATTTTAAAATTATGGAAATTTGTTTTGTTTAAAACTTTCATTAGAAATTAAAGTTTAAAAACCTTTTAAACTATAAAAGAGTTATTTAAAACTATTTTTATTTTTTAATTTATTAAGCAGAACTTTATAAATACATTTATAATGAGGAAGAGAAATTGGCGAAAATCAAATGTTCTTTCTTTTTCAAATAATTTAAATATTAACCTATTATTTAGTAATCTTTTATATGATATGAATATATTAAAGGAACTGACACAGTTTTTGAAAAAAAAAAAAAACGCTTTTTAACAATTACAAATATTTAAAGTCATAGTTTTAGGAACCTGAAACTGTTATAAAGAAGTTTGAGGAAGCTTAAACTGTTCTATAGAAGTTTAAGCAACCTCAAACAGTTTTAAAAATGTTTGAGGAAGCTCAAACTGTTCTATAGAAATTTGAGGAAGCCGAAACTGTTCTATAGAAGTTTGAGGAAGCTTAAACGGTTCTATAGAAGCTAGGGGATCCTCAAACTCTCCTATTGAAGTTTGAAGAACCTTAAACTGTTCTATAGAAGTTTGAGGATCCTTAAACTGTTCTATAGAAGTTTGAGGATCCTTAAACTGTTCTATAGAAGTTTGAGGATCCTCAAACTGTTCTATAGAAGTTTGAGGATCCTCAAACTGTTCCATAGAAGTTTGAGGATCCTCAAAATGTTCTATAGAAGTTTGAGGATCCTCAAACTGTTCTGTAGAAATTTGAGGAATGTCAAACGGTTCTATAGAAGTTTGAGAAAGATCAAACTGTTCTAGAGAAGTTTGAAGAAGATCGAACTGTTCTAAAGAACTTTGAAGAAGCCAACAAATGTTTTATAGAAGTTTGAGGAATCTCAAACGATTTTATAGAAGTTTAAGGAACCTCAACTGTTATAAAGAAGTTTGAGGAATCTCAAACGGTTCTATAATCGTTAGAGGAACCTCAAACGGTTTTATGGAAGTTAGCGGAATCTCAAACGATTCTATAGAAGCTTGAGGAAGCTCAAACAGTTCTAGGGAAGTTTGAGGAAGCTCAAATTGTTTTAAAGTAGTTTGAGATATCTCAAACGATTCTATAGAAGTTTGAAAAACCTTAAACTATTCTATAGAAGTTTCTATTGAAGTTTGAGGAATTTCAAACGATTCTTTAGAAGTTTAAGGAACCTCAAGCTGTTATAAAGAGGTTTGAGGAATCTCAAGCGGTTCTATGAAAGTGAGAGGAACCTCAAACGGTTTTATGGAAGTTAATGGAACCTTAAACTGTTCTATAGAAGTTTGAGGAACCTCAAACGGTTCTATAGAAGTTTGAGTAACCTCAACCTGTTCTCCAGAAGTTTGAGGAACCCCATACTATTATATAGAAGTTTAAGGAATCTCAAGCTGTTATAAAGAAGTTTGAGGAATTTCAAACGATTCTATGAAATTAAGAGGAACCTCAAACGGTTTTATGGAAGTTAATGGAACCTCAAACTGTTCTATAGAAGTTTGAGGAACCTCATACTATTCTATAGAAGTTTGAGGAACCTCATACTATTCTATATAAGTTTAAGGTACGTCAAACTATTCTATAGAAGTTTAAGGTATAGAATTCTATAGAACTATTCTATAGAAGTTTGAGGAACCTCAAACTGTTCTATAGAAGTTTGTGGAACCTCAAACGGTTCTATAGAAGTTTGAGTAACGTTAAACTGTTGTATAGAAGTTTTAGGAATCTTAAACGATTCTATAGAAGTTTGAATGACCTCAGACTTTTCTGTTGAAGTTTGAAGTACCTCAAACTGTTCTTTTGAAGTTTGAGTAACCTCAAACTGTTCTATAGAAGTTTGAGGGAACTCAAACGGTTCTATAGAAGTTTGAGGAAGCTCAAACTGTTCTATAGAAGTTTGCGAAATCTCAAACTGTTCTATAGAAATTTGAGAAACCTCAACCTTTTAAAGATATATATATTCCAGTAATCGGTTTTTTTTCTAGGTTCGTAATTTATAGAGATATCAAAAAGTTGGGAAAGAACTATGATATATTCTAGGAATCATTCTCTTTAGTATATTAGTGTATAGAAATTATTACGACTATTAAATTTTAATTGTTGGTTTCCCGGGAAAACCCCCAGAAAAATACGTTTTCTTTGATAAAATTCTAATAAATTATAGTGTTTTGTTAAACAATTGTTTTTATAAAAAAATTTTTATTTCAATAAAACAAATAACAAAAAATTTCCTAACTAAATTCCCCTTTTTTTAAAAAAAAAAAAACTATAGTTATTTGTTAAAACTAATTAATATGCTGTTATCGACAGTTTATTATTTAATAAGCGTACGTAAGTACTTCCTTAAACATGAATAAAACAATGTAAATTAAATAAAATTAATTGATTATTATAATGAATAAATTAAAAATTATTTAAAAAAAGTACTTACTTTGGGTACTTTTGCACCAAATTTATTCCCTTTTTATTACAAAAAAAAAAACAAAAATGCTTGTTTATAAATGTTGTTGTTGCAGACTGTTGTTTTGGGGCTATTGCTGTGGTTTTTGTGTTTAATGCTGTTGTTGTTGTTTTGGCTGCCACACTTTTCTTTTAATTTTTGTGGCTGTTGTTGTTTTTGGGGGGAAATTTTCGTTTTTTTCACTTTATTTTCAAAAATTTATTTTTATTTTTGTTTTGATTTTTGTTTTCGTTTTTTTTTTTGTGTGCGTTGCTGTTCAATTAAGAAGATCTTTGATCTTTATTAATTTAAAAATACAAAATTTTGTTTTCTTATGCATTTAAAATTTTTTCTTAAAATCGTTTTATTTCTTTAAAAATATTTTTCAAAAATAAAAAATATTAAAAAAAATTTAAGATTTTTTTTTTTCAAAATTTTGAGTTTAATTGAGGAAATTTCGAATTTTATTGATATGACACTATTTTTCTTAAAAAATTTAGTTCTTGTTTTTTAAAAATTTCTTTAAATTGGCAGAAAATTGTGTTTAAGTTTTATTTAGAACAAAAATGTTTTCATAAAGTCTGCTGCAGTTTTTGGGTTATTGAACTTTTTTATGTTGTTGTATATATTTTCTGTGGCATCAACAACGATGCTGATGACGTTGACGACGGCTGTTGCATGCAATATTTATGTTGCTGTTTTTAGGACAAACCACATACATTCACAAACAAAAAAATGGTTTAAATTGTTGTTGATTATTTGCTCGTTTAAAGTTTAATTAGAGAAAACAAAAATTTTTTTGAACACAAAAAATTTCGACACTTAAATAAGTAATTTTTTCACTTTTCTGGACTGTTGTTGTTGTTGTTATTGTTTTGTTTTTGAATAAATTTATTTTCATTAAATTCAATTAAACTTATACGATAACGTCGTTTAATTTTATTGATCTTTAAACGTCTCGTTTTATGTTTCATTACACTGTATTTGTTACGATGACAACGAGATTGCTGTTCTTCTTCTAACAAAAAAAAAAAAAAAAAATGGACTCGTTTTGTAGCTCTTGTCTTGTCGTCTTATGTCTCTTTAGGAATATATTGAATTTCCGTGTAAGATTTCAAATGTTTTGCTTTGGTTTTCTATTGTATTTGATGGGTTAGAAATACACACAGCCCAAAGTGGTAGATCTTCTTTAGTTGAGTTGTCAAGGCCAATAAACTGTATTTAGTGGCAAGTCAGTCATTCAGCTAGTCAGCCAGCCAGCCAAGTCTTCCTTAACCACTTCTTTTTCTTGTTTATTGTTGGTTGGCTGATTGTTGGTGAGCTCTTTTCGCTAAAATTGCTTTTGTATTCTGTTTCTTTTGCCGTTTGTCTGCTTATTGTTTTTGGCTATTTGAAGAAAACAGTTGGGGAAAATAGTTTAAAGTTAAATTCTAATAAAAATTTCAATAGAGGCAGACCGAAAAACCTGTTCCATAGAAGTTTGAAGACCCTAAAACTGATTTATATAAATCCTAATCGTTTTAAAGAATTCTGCAGAAGTTTAGGGAACCTTAAACTGTTCCATAGAAGTTTAAAGGAACCTCAAACCGTTCTATAAAAGTTTGAGGAACCCCAAACTGTTCTATAGAAGTTTGAGGAACCTCAAACTGTTCTATTTGAATTTGAGGAACCTCAAGCTGTTCTATGGAAGTATGAGGAACCTCAAACTGTTCTATAGGAGATTGAGGAACCTCAAGCTGTTCTATGGAAGTATGAGAAACCTCAAACTGTTCTGTTTGAGGAACCTCAAACTGTTCTATAAAAGTTTGAGGAACCTCAAACTGTTCTATAGAAGTTTGAGGAACCTCAAACTGTTCTATAGAAGTTTGAGGAACCTCAAACTGTTCTATAGAAGTTTGAGGAACCTCAAACTGTTCTATAGAAGTTTGAGGAACCTCAAACTGTTCTATAGAAGTTTGAGGAACCTCAAACTTTTCTATAGAAGTTTGAGGAACCTCAAACTGTTCTATAGAAGTTTGAGGAACCTCAAACTTTTCTATAGAAGTTTGAGGAACCTCAAACTGTTCTATAGAAGTTTGAGGAACCTCAAACTGTTCTATAGAAGTTTGAGGAACCTCAAACTGTTCTATAGAAGTTTGAGGCACCTATCTATATATATCTACATATCTATCTATCTATCTATCTATCTATCTATCTATCTATCTATCTATCTATCTATCTATCTATCTATCTATCTATCTATCTATCTATCTATCTATCTATCTAATCTATCTATCTATCTATCTATCTATCTATCTATCTATCTATCTATCTATCTATCTATCTATCTATCTATCTATCTATCTATCTATCTATCTATCTATCTATCTATCTATCTATCTATCTATCTATCTATCTATCTATCTATCTATCTATCTATCTATCTATCTATCTATCTATCTATCTATCTATCTATCTATCTATCTATCTATCTATCTATCTATCTATCTATCTATCTATCTATCTATCTATCTATCTATCTATCTATCTATCTATCTATCTATCTATCTATCTATCTATCTATCTATCTATCTATCTATCTATCTATCTATCTATCTATCTATCTATCTATCTATCTATCTATCTATCTATCTATCTATCTATCTATCTATCTATCTATCTATCTATCTATCTATCTATCTATCTATCTATCTATCTATCTATCTATCTATCTATCTATCTATCTATCTATCTATCTATTCTATCTATCTATCTATCTATCTATCTATCTATCTATCTATCTATCTATCTATCTATCTATCTATCTATCTATCTATCTATCTATCTATCTATATATCTATCTACCTATCTATCTATCTATCTATCTATCTATATATCTATCTATCTATCTATCTATCTATCTATCTATCTATCTATCTATCTATCTATCTATCTATCTATCTATCTATCTATCTATCTATCTATCTATCTATCTACCTAATTTCGTGGAAGCACTTTGGTTCCAGGTGTCACTTTATAAACTTTACCTGAATTAAAGTCTAGTTAACTGAACTTTCAATTTAATCCCAAATTGGAAACTTTCAAAAGTATATTTTGAAAAAAGCTTATTCATCTGCCTCTAATAAAATTTTCTTCACTGTAGTGGTTTGGTAGGTTTTTGTACAGATTTATTTCAGTTTTATTTATTTATTTTTTTTGCCTGTTCTCACTCAACAGAAACAATTGTATTTGTTTTGGGTTTTATATTTGTATTATTTACTTGATGTTGGATGTGTTCTTTTGTCTTTATTATATTTTATTTTTGTATTTCAGACAAGTTTCTCGTTTTTTACCACTTTTAATATAATGATGATCAGCCAAAAAAAAAAAAAAAACTTTTCACTCAGAATTGAAATTTTTTTCAAAAAACCGGCTTAAATTAAAAAGCACTTTTTGGAAATTATATATTTTTAAACGCACTTGATTGTATTTTTTAAAATATAATATTTTCGTTAAAAGATGTTTCTGTCATTGCAAAAATATGCTTTAAATTAATTTAAAATATGTTTACTTTTTCCACAATTTCCCAAATTTTTCTTTTCAATATTATTTTTTACACTGTTTGTATTCTATTTGTAAGATTAAATATAAAATAAAAAGAAAACACTGAATCTACGACGAACGTGTTGTGCTGTCAAGCAGTGTTAAATCTAAACTGATGTATTTCAATATACGTGATCTACAATTTTGTAGTATTTTTGTTCAGTTTGTGTTTTGTTTTTGTGGTTGTTGTTGTTTTACTCATAGTATTGTGATTCTATAAAATAACGTAGTGTTGCTGCTGCTGTCTAAACGCTGTCGCTGTCTGCGTCGATAATCTAAAAACGTTTTTGTTGTTGTATATAGCTCTATACTAACAACTAGTGAGTACTTTATTCTATACGTCCACTGCTACAAGATAGCACAACAGCAATGAAACAGCTGTTCACGCAGCGCTGCACAGCACAGCAGAGGCCTTTTAATATAAAACATTTTACTTGTTGATCTATAGAAATAAAAACAGATGATTTTAATACAAAACTTTCTCTCATTGAAGAAGAAGAAAAAGAAGCACCAACACCACAACAACAACAACAACACTAGCAACATCTTCTATCTCTCTGCAGATTAATATATTTTGTTTACATTTAAAATTTTCACAATCTCGCCAGATTCTAAATGAAGCGTTCTATATGATCGCAGCAGCATTTCATACGATCATCGTCTCTTGTTTAGATTGTGAATGGTTGGATGCATTTAATATTTGTATGTTAATATGAATTAACATGTCTTCTTGATTGTATTCCTTTTTTTTCGAAAATGCAATCATTAATTTGTGTATTTATGGTAAACAAAAAAAATATTGTTTTGACATTTTAATAAACAATTATCAGGTTTTACTTTATATCATAGCTTAATTAACTAATGGTAGACGATCGGTGGTTTCTTTTTAATAAAGAGTTCACGATTTTGCTGGAAGTATAAAAAAACTATTGCCGCTATAATAACAAACTAATGTAGATCGGCATACTCATGATCTTTTCAGTACTGAGCTCTAAAAGATCTAAAGAAGAGCAGAAAATATTATGAGAATACCTTTTGCCAATAAGCTAACTGCTATTCTTAAGACACAAGTTATAAAGTATTAATATTTTACATTAGATTTAAAAAAAAGATCGCGGACTTTATATTCCCTATTTACATACAATTGGTATAAATACCTGCAGAGGGAAAGGTTATGTAAATTCTAATACAACCAGTTTCATAAGATAAAGATATCGTTTTCGAAGAAAGGCTCATGATCGAAACATGATCGCATTGGTCCTGGCTTCATTCTATGCAAAAGTATATATTGATGACTTAAAAACTATTTTGGCTCTGGAAGCTACGACAATAAGATCTTATTTTCGAAAAAGGATCGAAATAGACTCATGATCGAGTCATGATCGCATTAGTTATGACACTATTCTCAAATTCTGAAATTTGAGCCATCTAGATTAATTCTAGTTCAGTTCTATTTTAAGTTCTAGTTCAGTTCTAGTTCAGTTCTAGTTCAGTTCTAGTTCAGTTCTAGTTCAGTTCTAGTTCAGTTCTAGTTCTAGTTCAGTCTAGTTCAGTAGTTCAGTTCTAGTTCAGTTCTAGTTCAGTTCTAGTTCAGTTCTAGTTCAGTTCTAGTTCTAGTTCAGTTCTAGTTCAGTTCTAGTTCAGTTCTAGTTCAGTTCTAGTTCAGTTCTAGTTCAGTTCTAGTTCAGTTCTAGTTCAGTTCTAGTTCAGTTCTAGTTCAGTTCTAGTTCAGTTCTAGTTCAGTTCTAGTTCAGTTCTAGTTCAGTTCTAGTTCAGTTCTAGTTCAGTTCTAGTTCAGTTCTAGTTCAGTTCTAGTTCAGTTCTAGTTCAGTTCTAGTTCAGTTCTAATTCAGTTCTAGTTCAGTTCTAGTTCAGTTCTAGTTCAGTTCTAGTTCAGTTCTAGTTCAGTTCTAGTTCAGTTCTAGTTCAGTTCTAGTTCAGTTCTAGTTCAGTTCTAGTTCTAGTTCAGTTCTAGTTCAGTTCTAGTTCAGTTCTAGTTCAGTTCTAGTTCAGTTCTAGTTCAGTTCTAGTTCAGTTCTAGTTCAGTTCTAGTTCAGTTCTAGTTCAGTTCTAGTTCAGTTCTAGTTCAGTTCTAGTTCAGTTCAGTTCAGTTCTAGTTTAGTTCAGTTCTAGTTCAGTTCAGTTCTAGTTCAGTTCTAGTTCTAGTTCAGTTCTAGTTCAGATCCCGTTCAGTTCCAGTTCAGTTCTAGTACAGTTCTAGTTCAATTCTAGTTCAGTTCTAGTTCAGTTCTAGTTCAGTTCTAGTTCAGTTCTAGTTCAGTTCTAGTTCAGTTCTAGTTCAGTTCTAGTTCAGTTCTAGTTCAGTTCTAGTTCAGTTCTAGTTCAGTTCTAGTTCGGTTCTAGTTCAGTTCTAGTTCAGTTCTAGTTCAGTTCTAGTTCAGTTCTAGTTCAGTTCTAGTTCAGTTCTAGTTCAGTTCTATTTCAGTTCTAGTTCAGTTCTAGTTCAGTTCTAGTTTAGTTCTAGTTCAGTTCTAGTTCAGTTCTAGTTCAGTTCTATTTCAGTTCTAGTTCAGTTCTTGTAGAATTCTAGTTCAGTTCTTTTTTTACTAAAAGAACTAAAATTTTACTAAAAATTATTTTTTTTTTAACTAAAATTCTCGATTTATACTCAAAATTCAACTTTTTTCAATTTTTTTTTACATAAAATATTTAATTAAAATATTTTATTTGCATTTTCTCTTTGCAGGTTTCATCAAAATCTTCAGAATTGTTCCGGTAAGTTTGATTTTTCTTAATTTTTAAAAAAAAATTCTTGACTATATATATAACTATTTATATATATCACCGATCACATTTTGTGACAATTTATGTTTGTATTTATCATTATATTTGATTTATTTATATGATTTTTTTTAAAAAGCCTTCGAACTATTGGTTTCAATTTTCGTGTCTTGGGTAATCTCTAAACTTCTCTTTGAACATTAGTTGTTATTGTAGTTGAATCCCTAATGATATTTAGATTGTCTCTTCAAATAGATTTTAGAATTCAGAATTATTATTACACTTACATGCAATAACCTTAAAAATTAATTGTTTATTAAATCTTTTTTCAACACTGTAAAAAAATAATAAATTTCGTCATTCGTTTCCAAGTTTATTTGAAAAAAAAAAAAAAAAAATCATCCCACAGTTTTGTTTAACTAAATATTACTTTTTAGTAATTAGTCAAATAAACCTGCACTTAGTAATTGTAAAGTTTTACAAATATTTTTTTTCAAACAAAAATTTCAACAAAATAATATTTGCTTTAATAAAAAAAATTTATTATTTAATTTTACTCTAACAAGTAATTTTAACAACAAAAATAATTTTATTTTTTTATTATTTAGAACTAAAGATTTACATCAGTCACATGTTGTTTTTTTTTTAGTTAGTAATTTTAATTATATTTTTTTTTTGCAAAAATCATATTGTAAATTTTTCAAGTTGCCAGGGATGGGTTGTTGACAATTATTACTAATAGAATTCGGTTGCATGTAGGTGGTTGCTTGTATGGGTGTGTTTTTTTTTTGCAATTACAACAACAACTGAGTGAGTTTGCATTTTATCAGTTACATTTACAACAAGATTATTATCATTGCTTTTGTTGTAGAATTTCAAACTTGAAATCATACCGCTTGTTTATTCTCCCATAAAATGCTGCAAACGGTGGGACTTTACTTCACAAAATTATAATATTCTTTAATTGTTTAAGCGTAGCTTTTAGAAAAAAAGTGATAAATTAAATAAAAATTTCGTTAAATTTTTAAGTTTAAATTTAATATGTTTATTTACTCTTAATATGCAATAAGTTTCTTTAAAACGTGTTTGGAATAATTGTTTTAAATTGTTTAAATAATGATGTATTAGCCGTAGATACCTGGTTTGAGAATTAAGAAGAAAATATAACACCTGTATAGTGTGTTTTTTAAAAAAATTCCATGTGGTTGATGTATTTTAGTTTTTTTTTTTCTGTGTTTGGAGATAAAAAAATTATGGGTCTTTAATAAAAGTGCTTAAAAATTATATAATATTAAGATCGTGGATATTGTTTAGTTAGTTGTTGATTGATCACTAATCAGGTAATCAATATGAACGTCATGCTGAACTATAACCGAACTAGAACTGAACTAGAACTGAACTAGAACTGAACTAGAACTGAACTACAACTGAACTAGAACTGAACTAGAACTGAACTACAACTGAACTAGAACTGAACTAGAACTGAACTAGAACTGAACTAGAACTGAACTAGAACTGAACTAGAACTGAACTGAACTAGAACTGAACTAGAACTGAACTAGAACTGAACTAGAACTGAACTAGAACTGAACTAGAACTGAACTAGAACTGAACTAGAACTGAACTAGAACTGAACTAGAACTGAACTAGAACTGAACTAGAACTGAACTAGAACTGAACTAGAACTGAACTAGAACTGAACTAGAACTGAACTAGAACTGAACTAGAACTGAACTAGAACTGAACTAGAACTGAACTAGAACTGAACTAGAACTGAACTAGAACTGAACTAGAACTGAACTTAGAACTGAACTAGAACTGAACTAGAACTGAACTAGAACTGAACTAGAACTGAACTAGAACTGAACTAGAACTAGAACTAGAACTGAACTAGAACTGAACTAGAACTGAACTAGAACTGAACTAGAAACTGAACTAGAACTGAACTAGAACTGAAACTAGAACTGAACTAGAACTGAACTAGAACTGAACTAGAACTGAACTAGAACTGAACTAGAACTGAACTAGAACTGAACTAGAACTGGAACTAGAACTGAACTAGAACTGAACTAGAACTGAACTAGAACTGAAACTAGAACTGAACTAGAACTGAACTAGAACTGAACTAGAACTGAACTAGAACTGAACTAGGAACTGAACTATAACTGAACTAGAACTGAACTAGACTGAACAGAACTGAACTAGAACTGAACTAGAACTGAACTAGAACTGAACTAGAACTGAACTAGAACTGAACTAGACTGAACTAGAACTGAACTAGAACTGAACTAGAACTGAACTAGAACTGAACTAGAACTGAACTAGAACTGAACCTACTAACTGAACTATAACTGAACTAGAACTGAACTAGAACTGAACTAGAACTGAACTAGAACTGAACTAGAACTGAACTAAAACTGAACTAGAACTGAACTAGAACTGAACTAGAACTGAACTAGAACTGAACTACATCTGAACTACAACTGAACTGAACTAGAACTGAACTACATCTGAACTACAACTGAACTGAACTAGAACTGAATACAACTGACTGAACTAGAACTGAATCCTTTTGAAGGGTTGATATGCCTCCGAACCCGATGGCTTTTCTACGTTCACAAGCTTTTTAGTCGAGTTCTTCCGCTGCTGAATCAATGGCGTATCTTCCCTATTTTCTGTTTCTGTTTTGCTAACAGGTCATATAGTATTTTGTCCATTGTCTCTGTCTATGCCTTTTTCACAAAAACCTACCATAATTTTTTCCATTCCGTTAAGTTTCTTTGTAAAAATCTAAATAAATAATATGTAGTAAAATTTACTTAGTTAACAACAACCTTTATCTCCAAAGCATTTAACAAGTTCTTTTTTAATTCAGTAAATAAAATCATTTATCTACTACACTTAAAGTGGCAACAATGGGGTTAAGAAAAAAAATTCCAGATAAAATAATTAAATAAATATTATTTACAAATTATATACAATTTACTACTAAATACTCGTTTATAGCAAATTCTATATAATGAATTAAAAACAAACTATTTAATACGTGAGAGAGTTTAAAAGATTAGGAAAATCCCTATTAAGTTTAAAAATTTATTTTATAACTAATTTTTTTAGATAATTTAATTATAATAATTCTAAGTATTAGAGGTATTTGGAAAAGTTTTTTGTTATTGTTTTACTTACTATAACATGAAAGAATTCAATACGATGTCAACATGTTTTCCGACATGTTTCAATACAGTGAAGAACCAATCGACTATAAGTTTTGATATGTTTTAAGGAATCACACTTAACGGTGTTAATAAATCCGATAATTATGATCTTAAATATTATAAAGATTGTGATTGAATTGTTTTCACCAGCCATATGACAAGTTTGCATGAATCACTTGTAGGGTAATTGTTTTCTGAAGATCACATTTTATGATCTCGTTTTAATTTTGCACATGTGATCAAATAAAAAATCTTAAAATAACTGACATTTTATTTAAAATAAATTAAACAACAAATTTACTAATTTTATTAAAAATAAAATAAAACATACTTAATAAATATTTGTTAAATAAATCTCAGCATAATGTTTCCTTAAACATCACAAAAATGTCCAAAATATTCCATGAAATTCGCACTGGAATATTGTTTAAAGCTCATTATTAAAAAAAAGAAAATAAAACAAAATTTCACAAAAAAAGTTTAATTATTTTATTGCAGACATTGAGATAAAAATGATTAAAGTCCCATTTTATCTCTTGTTTACTCCATATAAATAGCAGCAGAAAAAATATAGAATTACTTATGCAAATAAAACAACTTAACACCTTAATTAGGCAAAAAAGATAATGAAAATTTCCCGCTTATTAACAAAAAAAAACTCCACAGATCATTAATGAAAGTGTTTGTGTGCATTAAAAGTCTCTTTCAAGGGTTTTGCCCCTTTAGTCACGTCAACTGTTAGTTAAACATTTATTAAATCAAATTATAAAACATTTAGATAAATTCTTTTTATTATTATTTTTTATTCTCTCTGTTTTATGGTTTGTGCTAAATTTGCATTGCATTTATTAAGTTGTTTTTTGTTTTTCTTCTAGTAATGAGTGAAAATTGTGAAATTCTTATTCAAAAAACGTATTTTTAAAGTCCATAAAAAAAACTTGTTGTAGTGAACTTGGTGTTATGTTTTTTTTGTACCCAGTAGTAGCAGATCTCTTCTATTTTCTTTACGTTCAAGAGTATGGAGTAGATAATTAAACTATGAGGTATAAACAGGTTTTTTGAACAATTTAAAAGAATAAATATTTTGTCGGCAGTTTAAAGCTGTAAGAATACGCTACGTTTTTCCAAATTTGGAAAACTAGAACTAGAATTGAACTAGAACTGAACTAGAATTGAACTAGAACTGCACAGAATTGAACTAGAACTGAACTAGACTGAACTAGAACTGAACTAGAACTGAACTAGAACTGAACTAGAACTGAACTAGAACTGAACTAGAACTGAACTGAACTGAACTAGAACTGAACTAGAACTGAACTAGAACTGAACTTGAACTGAACTAGAACTGAACTAGAACTGACTAGAACTGAACTAGAACTGAACTAGAACTGAACTAGAACTGAACTAGAACTGAACTAGAACTGAACTAGAACTGAACTAGAACTGAACTAGAAACTGAACTAGAACTGAACTAGAACTGAACTAGAACTGAACTAGAACTGAACTAGAACTAAACTAGAACTGACTAGACGAACTAGAACTATAGAACCGGAACTAGAACTGAACTAGAACTGAACTAGAACTGAACTAGAAACTGAACTAGAACTGAACTAGAACTGAACTAGAACTGACTAGAAACTGAACTAGAACTGAACTAGAACTGAAACTAGAACTGAACTAGAACTGAACTAGAACTGAACTAGAATGGACTAGAACTGAACTAGAACTGAACTAGAACTGAACTAGAACTTGAACTAGAGAACTAGAACTAAGAAACTG